CTTTCCCGAACTGCCTCAGAGAAGGGTATAGTTTCTTGACAACGTCTAACAGGAACTATACTTCCCTCTTGGACACCACATATACCCGTAAGGGATTCCCTGTGCCATGTCGTCGTTATAGTTTGAAAATTAAGAAGGCTTTCACCTATAATAGAATAAAGCAAAAGTGCTTAAAGAATTAGAAAACAGAAAAGTTAAAAAACCTTTCAAAACAGATAAATATAATATATAAGTAATAAAGATTAAATAGAGAAGTCTGTTAAAGGATAGAAGAAAAAAAGAATAAATTTTATATGGTACAAAAGATGACAGACAATTAGAAAAAATAATTAAGAAAAAAAAAAGTACTAATAGAATATTGGCAGATACAAAGTGTAGAAAGTAATTTAGCAACTCAAATTAGCAAATGCAATAGATGTATGAGTGAAGAAAGAGTAATAAAAAACAATTGTCAACAGTGGATAAGAATTAATAAAAGTGATTTTAAACACATTAATATTGAAAACTAACAACATAATCAAGATAGCAATAGACTAATTAACAGGTTATACAAAAATAAAAAAATTAAAAAAAATGAACAAAAACTAACAAAACTAAGAATGCTAGAGAACTTAAAAATAAAGCTAATTAGAAAGTAAAAGTTAAAAAAGAATGTTACTCAAAAAATAGTAAAAATTTTGAAAAGAAATATATCAAGAAATAAGAATAAATATATGATATATACTGATAATATAGCAAAAAGATAAAATAAAGAAAAAGTACCAGATAGAAACATAGATATAGAATGGAAACAGACAAGTGAAACACAAGATTAGTCAGAAGAAAAAGTAGCATTAAAGATAAAAGGTTAGCTAACTTCAACTATAGCTAAGTTATTAGCAATATGGACAGCAATTCTAATTATATCAAAAAGAAAAAAACTAGAAATATTTATAAATAGTATTGCTATAATTAAGAACATTAATAGAGTGTTAGATTATATGAATAGAAATAGAATCCTTAAAAAGAAAAATACTTTTTAAATAATAAAGATAATTAATATAGTTAAAATAAAAAATATACAAATAAAGTGATTTAAGATAAAAAGTCATAGTAGAAATAATAAAGCTGACAGTTTTGTAAAATAAGAAACATTAAACAAAAAAATAATATATATAGAAGAAGTCAGTTGTAAAAAGATAGATTATTGCTTAAAGTAGAAAAACAAATGAATAAACAAATCAGTAAGATTTTTATGTAAGCTAAATAACAAATGTTAGATTAGATGCAAAGTAAAGAGAAACAATAATAATCAAAAGTCTAGAATTAGTAATAGAAGTAACAATTTATAACTAGACATATTTTTGAAAAAGACTAAAATCAACTAAATAAGTGTATTGTATAACAAGAAGAAGTAGTACAAGAAGAAGTACTTTTATAAAATATGTATTGGACAAACTTCTAATATTAGAAGAACTTAACAAAAGAAGATCAGATTTATATATGAATGCAGAATGCCAAGTATGTCAAGATAAAGTTAAGAAAATACAAAAATATTTGGCAACATATAAGGGACAAATAAGTTTTTGAAAAAGAATACAGAAAGTGTTCATCACAATAACATAGAAAGGATTAAAAGAAAAAGAAAAAACTAAAGTTCTATCTTATATATTATATACAACATTCTTTAAAAAAACAAAAACAGAAAAAATAGAAATAAAAAAATACTAATTAAGAGTTTAATTTCAAAAACAACTTAAGACAGATTAGTACAACTTCTAGATATAAGAACAAAACAACAATTTATAAATATATTAGCAGAAACAACCTGAAATACCTTTTATAAACAAGTCTAGAGAACAAGATATAAAAAAGTTAATGAATAAAAAAAAAGAATAGGAATAATTAGTAAAATGAAAAAAAAATTAAAAGAAGGAAAAGAATCCAAGCAAGAAAAAAAGATTAGTTAGCAAGAAGTAAAAGAAAAAAAAAAGCAAAAAAAAAGAAGAAAAAGTAAATTGAAGATAAAGCTAGAAAACCAATTTTAGAACTTGTTATAAAAGAGAGAAGACCCTTTTATTATAAACTTTAAATAGTTAGATAAGCAACTTACTTCTGCTTGAAATAATGCAACAGGTTATATTTAGATACCATTAGAGTAACTAAATAATGCTAGACTTAGTTGTTAGGTACATCTATATAATTACAATAGTAATTTCAAGAATCTTAATAAAATACTAGCATAACTGCTTAAGTTTAAAAAAATAAAAAAAAATAAAAATTAATTAAGTTTATACAAATGTTTTATAACTTGTCAGTCATACTAATATGATCATAATTACAGATATCTTAACCCAATTATCAAAAAATAGTTGTTATAATACAAATAAAAATCTAAATGTTTATTATCAGTAGGTTTTGAATCTACAAGTTGCTATTTGAAGATTGACAACCTATTTACTTCACTAAGTTGTCACACTCTTCAATTATATTTTTTTAATTGTTAATATATTTGAATTCTTATATATAATATTTTTTAATTATTAGATCTGTATATGTAATTTGAACCTTTATTTGTAATTATTTTCACTTTTTAGATTCTAATTTGTAAATTTTAATTAAATATTATTATTTTTTACTTTATAAAAATTTATAATAAAGATGTGATAATCTAGTAAAATAGACAAGTTGTTAACCTCCAAGTGACAGTCTAAGGTTCAAATCTCACAAATAACAAATTTTAGAAGTTATGTTTATATTATAATAACTTTCTTTTATTGATTAATTAGATTTATGTAAATGACCAAGAGAGAGCAAAGATTCTGAAAAGTTCTGAAAGAAATTGAATGAACATAAGAGACGAGCAAGGTTGAATCAAAAATTTGAGCGAAGCTCCGAAAATTTCCAAGGTAAGAACAAGAAGTATAGATTATTAATCTAAACCGGTTGTGATCGGTTGACATAAAATAATTCGGTTCGGTTAACCGATTGAGGATATTATTTTCGGTTCAAATCACTAAGTTCTATTTCCAGAAAATATGCATTATTTGTAATGATAAAAAAAAATATTAATAAAATCTTATAATAAATCTTTGCAAGTTATTTTTTTGTTTTCGAAATTGCTACAGATGAATATTAAAATTTAGATCAAATATACAATAAAAAGTAATTTATTCGCTTGATACATCAAATCATAATAAATTTATCTTAATTTACATTAAGAACTATTTGTTGTATGTCATATAAGTCAATAACAAAATTTTCTCCAACAACAGTATTGGGTACCACTGCAGTATAGCCTTCAACATTTGGAACTCTACCCAAAATTGGAGGATCCCAAAAGGCATCTCTAACAGGGATAGTTACTTGAAATTCATTATTATTTGGAGCATTACAACCAGTTGGTGCATGAGTATTATGATGTATAGTTCCGCATTCCCACTATTATTTGCAAAATTATTTAATCCGAATATTTGATTATAAAAATACAACAGTAATTTAATATTACCTCCTTGACATATATTCCATTTTCTGCTAAAGTTGTATTTGAGGATAATATACCACCTGGCAGTGCTTGACGTACCCATAATCTTGCCTAATATAGAAAAAATCATAAAGTTGAAACTAATCGAATAATGAATAGACGTTAACGTACAGGACACATACTATTATTGGCTGATGAACAATTCTATTGATATTTATTTTAGGATAAATTTTAACTCCCAACACACAACGAACGTATTCCTCGTGCATCCACGTCTCGCATCTTGTGTTCCATAAATCAATTTTTTGAATATTAGCAACTTCGCAAATTATTCTTGCATGGGAATTGCTCTGTGTAACTTTAATTAGAGATTGTCTTAAAAATAAGTATTATGATAATGAAATATTAAAGTACTTTGAAGTCACCGCGGGGAAAATCAGGATATGGACTTGCTCGTTGTACAAGACACTCTCTCGGACGAACTGCAATGTCCGGAGTTATTTTTTCTCCAATTCCGATTGGATTGTAATGGTCTATTGGAAATTTTTGTATTTTTATTACAAGCTCCAAAAAATAGAATTAAATAAAAATCTCTTACAAGGATGACTAGAAACTATTATCGGTCCAAGCTTTACTTTATTATTTGGTTCTTTAAAACAATCTTGAAGATATGATATAACATCTTCATGTGATGTGTACGCCATTTCAATAATATAGACGTTTTTTTTATCATAGTGAAGTTTATATCCTGACGATTCGTTACGATCAAGAAAATTGTTATACTCTTTAACCGAAATGTTTTTACCAATCTGGAAGGGCAAGCTGAATACGATGGAAGTTAATAATGAATAGCTCTTAAAGAAACATGAATAAGTAACGCTTACCTTTCATCTGCTAAATGAAAATCTGGCAGTTTAGGGTGTCTATAGGGCAAGTTATCCCTAATTTTATTTATTTGATTACTTATCCAATTAGCCATACTTTACGAAATATAAAATACAGAAATATGAACTTTGACATGATCTGAATTTTATATTTGATATGAAAATCACACGTGATTACCTATGAAACGTTACTACGTAGCAAAACTGGTAGAGTCTATAAATAGACAAGCTTATTCTTTAAACTCAGTTTATTTTCCATTGATTATTATGGATTTCGAGTATTCGGTCAAAAGATGTTACGAGTCAGAAAATTCATTAATATTACGAAGAAAAAGCATATGTACGAAAGTAAAAGAACTATTTTTTTGTATCATATCATCGCTAATGTCAATATAATACGTACATAATTAATCAGTTTTATTATGATATGCATCGTTTAACGTTAATAATTGACAAAATTTAAATGACACATAACATAAATAGATAAATTTATATGATCAAAGAGTTTTGCATAATAAGTGTATGTGTAAATTTATACTTTTTGATAAATTTTCACCAATTCTGCAATTGTAAAAAATTACTTAAATTTACGTATGATTGGACAATCTTATCATGAAGTTTGAGAATAATTTGTGTTATTTCAAATAAAGCTCTTTGTAAGATATTGTACATTTTTCTCTGGAAAACTTCAATCGCGCTTAAACGATACTGTAGTATTACTCTTGAGCGATGTATTCGTTTACATCACTCTTAAACGATATATCAGAAGCAAACGTCGCCCATTACTGAAGTTCAAGTTTAGAAGTTAATTCAAGTTTAAAAGTTAGGCAAACAAATTTAGAATAGAAAAAAATTTTTTTATACTTGGTTCATCTAATTTTTTGAGACGGTACTTTCGGTGGTTAATCCTGTTCATTGGAACTAAATCACTACAACGTCACAGCTGTATTTATCTCGTGGGTATTTTATATGATTTTCTATAATCCTAAAGAATACAGCATATACTTATAAATATTAAGTGTATTCCGTGAATCACAAATTTTCATGCACCTGGTCTCAGGCAACGTAAATTCGATTACATCTTTGCATCAACTGATTTTTCTACATAATCAGTAATGAGTATGCAATGGAGTGGAATTTGGACATATAAAATTTTATATATTCATATATCTATGTCCAAATGAAATTTTTATTGAACATCGTCCAAATGCAAAACACCGTCTTTGACCGAATCATAAAACTACATTTAAAACGCTAATAATATTTACTTTTAATTTGAATATTTTGTTTCATACATGATAACAAAAAAAAAAAAATGGTAAATTCAAAAAAAAAAAATATACAATACGTAATTTCTAAAAGATAATAAAATGTATACAATTTGCTAAATCCAAAATTCCTTTATATAACACAATTCAATAAAATTGAAACTAGATTTTTACCAAGTAAATAACCAGGTCGTCCAATCACCAAATAATTTCCAACCACACTATTATTACCGGTTACCAAAGGAGTATCCAAAGCAAATAAGAAAGAATCTGTAGAACCATTAGAACGAATTTTAAATAATTTATCAAAAGTATCATTTTCAGGTTTTAAATCTACAAGTTCAGAAGTTTCATTATAAACTTTAAATGTATATTCCTTTTCATCTCCTTCAGTAAATCCACTACTAAATTGTCCCACTATAATGGTTTTATTTGAAGGTGTTTCCCAAAAAACCATTATACCATTTGTTACATCAGGTGGATCATTAAATTTTACATAAGCTCGTTTTGAAATTGGTATCTTTGGAGGAGGATGAGGTGATGGAATATGTGGTGGACGTTTATCTTTATGGGACACAGAAATAAAACTATCTAATAACAAAAAGGCAGAATCCTTCGATTTAGAGACTTGATGCATGAATAACGGACTACAGAACGTGCAAATTGAAAAGTAAAGTAATAATAGGGTGAATACGAGAAAAATTGATGTGTGGTTCCTCAACATTTTTACAAAATCAACTCTTTAATTAATAGTCAATTAATAATCAATTAATAGTCGATTCGTTATTTTTCTTATTTGATTTCTTAGTTAATGAAGAAAACAGCTTTGGTGGATGGTTTTGACATCCTCTTATATTTTTATTTAGAAATAATAAAGAACGCCAAAAAAAACCTGTCTAAAAAACTTGTTTAAAATTCTCATGGTAACTTGTGTGTAAAACTTCATATGATTTTTACTATAAAAGTTAAAGTAGGAAATTTACTATAAAAGTTAAAGTAGGAAATTCCTTTCATTTGGCGTAAACACGCCACTAGAACAAAATGCAAAATACCTATTTCATTTAGTTAAAACATCACCTTTTTAAAATATAATTACTAATAATGCAGTTACGTATCGGTATCGTATATCGATATTTGCGAAAATTCATGTGATTGGATTTTAAATTACGGACTACCATTATTATTTTTAACTGTTAATGTTCCATTTTGGCGCTAGTAAAGCAAGACTGGCCCTGGTTTACTTTCTTGTTAAGCCGAAATGGTAGCAACTCTTTAACGAAGGAGAAAGAAACCTGATTTCACAATAAAGTAAATAATGTTATGGAAACTTACCCGCATTATCTAAGGTTACGATCTGATATACATTCCATGCAGAGCAAACACAAATGTGCGAGCGTACCGTATCGTGGTACATGTATATTCCGAATTAGCCAAACTGAACTTTATTATGATGCATCTATATTCCGATTGTACCATAAAAATAAATTTCATTAAAACCGATATATTAAAAGTTTTTTTTTAAACTGTGTGAACTTGGTTTTTCAAATTCTAAAATGTCATTCCAATTTGCTATTGAACAAAACAATTATATTGTCATTTGGTACTGAAGGATGTAGCATTGTATATAGTTTTATTTAAACCATGTAAATGTGTTTACATAATGGTTTTGCAAATATATCTACAGCAAGACTAGCACATCTCATGTCGCTATAAGATTTTCAAAGACCAAGTCCAGTAAATTAGTAATTAAAATTCTCGCAAATTGGCAGACATTGCATTGCTGCACGGTAAAGTTTAGGTTATCGTAGGAACTATTAGAAAATACTTGAAAGTTATAAAACGAAATGAATTAGATTACTTAACACAGTATATTACAAAGTTTTTATTTTGGCGGGTCTCCCAAATATTACTTCGATTTGGAATGTTTTTATAAATCGAAAATTCTTTTTGTACTATATATGAATTGTATACGTAGTTAGATATTGTTATACTTAAACCACCTCTTATATGAGTTCAGTATAACTAGGGACGATAATGCTTTAAAATAAAGAGGTTTGACAGTGATTTGCAATTACAAAGAAACAAACGCCTAAATTTATTATAAAGATACAAATAGTCGTATTGAGTTATTCGTGTATAAAGACATGATTACTCTTTTAATATATTGTATTGAATGGAGAACGATGACGATTTTCAAGAGAACGCCGGGACTATTTATACAATTTATCTGAACACAAGTACTGAATATTACATCTATCAATTATAACAATATCTATTCTATGAGATAATTAATACACGATATAGCATAACTAATGCATGTAATACGGTATAAAATATATGAGATAAATAAAGTATATAAAATATAAGAAAGATTCGCGAAGACGGTATTAGAACTACCAGCAATTTAAGCATTCTTGGCGTTCGTGATGTGTCGCACACGTGATTCTATTTACAATCGTAATTCACGGGAACACGGAAAACAATATTTAGTTAGATATTAATTAACAAATTTAATAATAGTGAGGATAAAACTTACAAAATAATCCCGTATTTCTCTTCAATTATTTCATGTTTCATTTGAAATCTTAGATGGGGGTTTTATTTTTCTGTTAATGTTTTTTACACCAAAGTATGGTTTTTGTTGAATATTGTTTTTAGCTTTGCTTCAATTCAATATAGTAATTATCGTAATAAATACATATTAAATAGTATTTTTCATTAATATGATGAAGGTTTACGAATTTCTGAAAAAGTTGCCTTATAATATATTTTAGGTGAATTTACAAATAAGGGCTCGAAAAGTGAAAATAATTACAAATACGGTTGTGATGAAGGTTCTATTAGAATCGTGAATTTATAAGTAATATCTGGTCATCGATGTTACTGACATTAATGGTTTCGTTTTTTTCTTGAAAAATATTAAAAGGAAATTTACATAAAATTGTGCTGCAAAAAGGTGTCTGTTCTGTGATCTTCGATTTGAGAAAAATAACTTATATTAAGGTTAGAGATTAGCGTTTATATCATTTTAACGAAGGGTTTGTTTTGAATTTGCCTGATCATGTTACGTTACACCTGATCTCTAAATATTATTGGTTTAGACTATCACTGTTTGCGACTAACTCGCGTCACAAAAACGGCTTTTTCTAAAAAGTAAATCAGATTAAATACTAGTAAAAAATGCATTTCGATTTAAGTCTAGAAAATGAAGAGACAATGAGGGGTTTTGTTCACCTAAAAAAAAAAAACAAAAGGTCGATTCTTATACCGAAAACATGCCCTGAAGCCAAGTAATATTAGATCTAGAGCAAATTTTATCTATAAGAAGATACCATACTGAGGAGATTTCAGAGACAATGGTATCTATTTTCTAACAAAATAAATAAATTTTGTGATATGAATTAATAATGCCTGTCTAATGAATGATGTAAACATTTCATAAAGGAACTTCAAGTTGACAAATTTACAAAACCTATCGATATAACACGATTCTTGGCTATGTATAATGATAAGGAAATGATCAAAAAAATCAAGAAAATTAGACAATCAAACAAATGGTAACAGGAAAATTCTGGATATACTACATACTATTTATGTTTTGCTGATTTTTTACCTTTATATCAGACGTTATTGGTAAGCAAATATTATTTGAGATGATTAGTAAGATAAATTTTGATTGTCTAGTGTTACCAACCTAAACATTTCGTTATGCAGGCCAAATCTACTTTATAAAAATTCGAAATTTCATCATTTGCAATAATTAGCAACATATATCGATATGTCATATAAAGCTCATAATTAGAACGATTATTTTATTATTAACTACCCAATAGATTAATGACTTTTAAACCTTTATTAGTACTAATATATCACTAATATATCACTAATATATTGCTAATATATTGCTACTTAATATTATCATTCATTGCGAAAATCGTACATTTTTGCGATAGTAACAAAATATCCTGAATTTAGCGTAAATGATTAATAATATAGGTTGCTAAGAGGAAAAATCGCAAATTTAGGTTCTTACTAGCACTATTAACGAGGTTTTAACGAGGGTTTTTGACGGAGTATGAAAAAATTGGCAATTCTTCATACTCCGTCAAAAACGAGTATACATACATTCGGTACGGTTCGGTAGTTTGGTTAGTACCGTATGAACTGTACGGTGATTACCGGTACTGAGGTAGTTAGTAAAGTAGTACAGTACGGTAGTACAAATTTGTACGTACGGACGTAAATTGGGCGAGATTTTGATAGTACGTACAGTAAAAAAAAAAAAAATTTTCGTACTAGTACGGAAAGTCCAATACCTTCCATTTGGTATTTAGGGTGTGACCAATCAAGCATGTGACAAATAATGTGCTCACATATAAATTATATTAGTAACCTTAT